ATGCCAGTCAACGCGTTGCGACCGATTCACTTCAATCGTTCATCGACGTCAATCGAACTCCTGTGGATCGGATAGTGACGTTCATCGTCGCTATTTAACACTGAGCTGTTCGTGGAGACCTATAGGCAATTTTCGATGCCTACAGTTATGTGCTTCTATAGAATGCCATCTTAGTTCTTTGACATTTTCAAATTTGGGTGAATGTGCATCAAGTACACAATTCACAGTGCTTCACATTTGTTCTTAGCTCTTGAATTATGAAGTAGTTGATAATTTCAGTCATCCTCTTTTAAGAGGACTTTGTTCCATAATAATATCTACTACATACTTGCGATATCTACTACATACTTGCACTCCTTTCCCCCCTCCATGAGAACCTTTGTTCTTATCCTAGGTAGGTTTCTTCCCCATCAATAAGTTGCTAATTTGGTATCCCTCCCTCTTTAGGATGCTTGTCTATGGTATTCCACTTCCAGGCATGAACAGGGATCAGACAAACTTAGGAACTTGCCTTCAAACTCTATGCTCAGTGATCAACTATTTGAACCAACTCTTGTTGAAGGTTAATATGTGTGAGACGTAATGCTCCTGAAGAAATCTCTTGTAAGACTTAATTTTCTCCCTTAAATATTGCAAGAACTCCAGTACCAGTGTACTGCTTAATACGGTATCACAACATATACAATATTATCCCCTCAAAGGCAACATCTCAATGCAAATGCCCTCAACTAAGTTGCTTGATATTCATCTTGCTTTTGGTGCTTGAAACAGGAATTTGCCACTTTCCTCTAAGTCTCTACAGCTGTTCATTCTCATATAAGCAGTTCATATTCCATTTTCCAAAAACTAGATATTATACTTTTTAGACATGCCTATAAGATCAAGGCTTTAATGATTTGCATCATAGTAATCTAAAATAGTAATAAGTCGTCTCAAAACTTCTTTGGAGTACCTTATGGTGAAAGTAAAATTGAAGCTATTCTTCTTCTCAGCATGCTTCAAAAAGTAAAATCTTCCTTGCACACCATTTTCTGTAAACACACAAGGGAAATCATATTCATTTTTGGTCCTTAAGTGATGAGTTTTCTTCAAGCTTGACAGTTGACGGGAAAAGGCTTGGATTATAATGGTTATGATTTTATAATATAGAAGTTTAGAGAGATTAGACATCCATTGCAAAAATGGTTTTGATCCTTATATTTCTCAAATTGTCAATTCGTAGGCTCATGAAATGTCATTCAATACAGTCTTTAATTGACTTAAAATTTCACTACATAAGAAATGATCATCTCCCTGGTATATGTGCACAATTCATGCCATAATCAGCGAACACAGTTCACGTTGTTTTTGCTCCCATAGTTGACTTTTTAATAACCAAAATTACAGAACATTTAAGATTGTTCTAGAATATCTTATAAGGTATTTCAACTAGAACCTCAAACTTTGATTGCTCATATGGGAACATTTTAGCTGATATTAATAAAGTATGGGATAATGGACTGCAAGATATTTGACGCTGAACGACAATATGGACTGCAAGATATTAATAAAGTATGGGATAATGGACTGCAAGATATTTGACGCCGAACGACAATATGCCCCATAATAATAATTAAACCAAGAAAACTTATTTTTTTATTCCCTGAGGTGCTATATTAAATATTATGGCTGTACTATTCTCTGTTTAGCTTTTGGAACCTTGGGGGTAATACAAAGATTATTGTTATGATTTAGTTAATTATCCACGTTGACCTTTGTTGTACTAGATAGCTTCTTTTGCTTTGAATGGTACATGCAAGAGCATGCATCTATATAATTGAGCCAATGGTTGTACTCACTGTAGGCTGTCTAAAAACCACAATAGATAGCTTATCCCCCATCAAACACCGGTGATAGAAGTTACAATCTGACGATTTCCAGAAGGCTATAATCTGAAGACTTTCGCGTAGATCGCTGAAGGTTACAATCTGACGACCTTCACGACAACTGATGGAAGCTCTAATTCAACAGCCTTCACAATCAACATCGGGAGTTACAATCTGACGACTCTAATTCAACAGCCTTCACAATCAACATCGGGAGTTACAATCTGACGACTCTCATATTCTCAAGGAGCCAAGACGAAGATTACAAGACAATGATCTTTGCAACGCTATGACAAAAAGAGATTACTTGGTGATAATCTCTTCAAGGCAAGACGGGGAGGTCCTCCCCGTGTATCAACACCAAAACGCGGAGGTCCTCCCCGTGTGTCAACAGTAAAACGCCAGGGTCGAACCCGCGTTACAACATCAAAACACGAGGGTCGAACCCACGTTACAACATCAAAACGCCAGGGTCGAACCCGCGTTACAACATCAAAACGCCAGGGTCGAACCCACGTTACAACATCAAAACGCTGGAGTCGGACCCGCGTTACAACATTAAAACGCTGGGGGTCAGACCCACGTTTTTCAATGCCCAGCGAGTACCCAACTCCGCGTCTCAATTCTAAAACACGGAGTTAGGATCCTGAACGCCCACGTGGGCGTTTGACTCATTCAAACACGAGCTGAACGGTTGCAGGAACCGTTTTCCCTCCACGATTTGAGGGATTTCCACCCCACTATGGAGAGAATTAAGGGGACGGTTACACCCCTTAATTCCCTATAAATATGGGTAAACTCAACTGAGTTAAAGGCTGGCCTTTTTTTTCGGATCGGGGAGATCGGCAGCAAGGTTGGATTTTCTTGGCTTGGATCGACCACTGGAGACAGGCTTTTGAGGAGATCGGCATCATCTTCCAACGAAGATCATCTTCAACTTCAGCAACAGAGAGCCTCTGTCCTTGGCTTATAACCGACTTTCGGTTCAAATCAACTCTTTTTCAAGAGTTAAAACTCGTTCAGAGTTATCAACTCATCAAGAGTTTCAAACTTGCCACGCAAGTTCTCCACAGCGTCGAATCGTGGGGAGAAGATATCGTTCCAGTGAAGCAAAACATCGGATCGTCAACGGAGAGCAATTTCGCACTTTTTATTTTTGATATTTTTGTCAGATTTAAAGATTAACAACAACCAACAACTACAGCAAGGAAAACAAGATACATTTCATTTTCAAAAGTAATGATTTATATAGTTCGTATAGGAATTGTAATATTAGTTTTATTAGTGTGTAATTATTATGTTAACCTAATTGAATTTAACTACATTATGAAATTTTCCATCGTGTCAATTAATAAAATTTTAAATTTAAATTTATTATTTAACAAAAATAAATTAGCATTCAATTCTTGTGCAGTTCAAATAATATTCTCACAAGTTTGCGTTAAAAATTATTGAAAAAAATCAAATGGAATCAAATGAAGGTTAGTCAAACAAATTTAATTTTTCTAATGCATCCTTAAGATAATCAATAATATCTTTCCACGACTTTTTCATCTTTATATATAATTTTTCTTTACTTTTATTTGTACTTATTACTGCTGGTATATTTTATCTTCTAGAAAACAATACAACGCCTTTTGGTGTTTGCATGAATTTAAGTGCCTTTTTTGAGGGACTATATTACTGGTAATGCTGAGTATGTGATCTTATGTATGAATAAATGGATGTTTCTTCTAGAAAACTTGTATATTGCTGAAAATTCATTAGTTTTTTTATTGTATGTAAGAAATATTATTTATTTTTAATTATTGGCTTTCAACAATAAAGCTATGTTTGCGAGCTATCATGTTGACTCTTTTTTACTCTCATTATATGTATATCGCCATGCAAATTTAATACTTTCCAGATTTGTAATGTGATGTTGAATATTAGTTATTTGTAGTTAAGGACAACTTACCTCTTCTTTATTGTACAGTCACTTTTATCACATGAATCATATATATGGTTGATTAGGTTCATTCTCTATGGATATTATCATAAGTCCTGTGAGATAATGGTTAATTGGCATTCATCTTGTATATTGTGTATAAGTTCAATGCATAATTATGGAAACATTATGGATTTTGACTCTTGTAGTTTCTTAATATGCATCACGTGAAACGCACGTATTACATATTAGTATCTTTAAAAGTAGCACTTTACTATCTTTTGTAATTAACTAAATTATTGGAAAATTATTCTTATACGTTGGAACATTCCTCTAAAAAATTTCATGGGCGATATACAAATGATAAAAAATAGGTCAATTATATAAATCTTAACTTATTAGTCCCTCATATCATTGAAATTGCTAATAGGTCCATTAGACTTGAGTTATTTTAAATTAGACCATTATATAATTTTAATTGCTATCAGGTCCCCAAAATATTACCTTGATTTGAAATCAGTCCCCCGAACCAAGAGGAAACTAACAAATATAGACAAATTGGCCACTTAAAATCATTGAAATCGCTGTTAGATTCCCAAAATCTTATAAGTTATTTTTAATTAATCCTTCTAATTCCTATTTTTCCTCTTATTTGGGGGATTATTTTGAAAACAACTTAAAACTTGGAGGGCCTAACAGTAATTCCAGTGCTTAAGGTACTAATCTCAAAAACAGCTTAAGATTTGAGGGACTGCACAGCAATTTTCATGATATGAGGGACTAACCACGAAATATGAATGAAGTAAGGAACTACCATTGAAAAAACCCTTTAATAGACCTCAACGTACCCCACCAAACTGATCCAATTTCTTCTTCGTTCCGCGAGGCCACGTGATGAACAAGCTGTTAGTTTACAGTTTACAGCGACGTGGGTGAAACTGAAAAGATCTTTGCTACAGTGACCCAAAATATAAGAGCAATAGAAGGGACAAGTGAGATGTTCCTCTCCTATTGGATAATGAGTTGGTCATCTCATTATCCAATAGGAGAGGGACACCTCACTTGTCCCCTCTATTGATCCCATATTTTGGGTCATTGAGAAATTTTTCAACTGAAAAGAGCTTTGCGAAAGGGACCCAAAATATGTGACCACCCAACCTACAAACGAGGCCAAAAACAATTGTTATATTTATATATTACAACGCAAGCGAAGTTCTATCAAAATTATTCCCGGCCCAAAACCACAAACAAAATGGCGAGGTTTTCGTTCGGAGAAGAGGAGGAGGAGGAGAACGAGATGGAATCCAGAGCCAACAACAAAAGGAAGGGTCAGTCACCGACCGAAGGCGGAAACCAAAACAAATCTCAGAAATCGGCAGGAGATGCGGAGCAATTGCGCAGCGGGATCGAGGACAAAATGGGAGGGATTTCGGTTACGATCGATCCTGATGCTCTTGATTGCTTCATTTGCTGCGAGCCCCTGAGGCCTCCTTTGTATCAGGTTTGATCTCATTTTGCTCTGCAATTTGATCAAGGTTTCTGGATTGGGGATTTAGGGTTTACTTGAAAACGCTGGGTTCTCGCTGATTGTGAGTGCGTATACTTTGATGACGCTTATCTAAAATTTAAGATTTTGCTTGTAAATAAGCATTTGGGAGTGAAACTTTATGCCAATTAGTCTCCGTAGCATGAAATTAGGAACAACAAATACGAAAAGAAAGGAATTGCATGAAATATAATCAATGATGCGCACCCTAATTCTATTACAAAGGAAAGAGGGAAGTAAATGAGCACAATACTCAGCCTGAAGTCCTCTTCCTCTAATGCTACTTATAGGGTGTTACTCTTTGCATCCAAGCCCCTCTAAATATAGCGCTTGTGTAAATAATCTTTGGCACCCTTAGGCATGTATCGATTTACCTTGAAATTTGTAGTCGCTTCTTAATAATTATGACCCTTACGTGATTGTGAAAATTTAGGTTCTTTGTAATGATGAATTAACAACCTCTCTTACTAATCCTTTACAATTTGTTCATTTGGATGTATTCAGAAAACTGCAGCTAACACTGTAGCTGTGATTTACAAAATGATAGTTATAGTTGCTTATAGTAGTTTGCTTCATTAATGCTGTAATCTATTTGGAAACTGCAGTTGCAAAAGTGAGTTGCTTATTTTTTTTTGGTTTTTTTTTTTTGGGTTGGGGGGTGGGGGTTGGGGGGGTGGGGGGGGGGGATACGGACTGCAGTTCATCGAAACAAACAATCAAAAACTCAATTACTACTGCTCATTTGAACTTGCTATTGTCCTTGCAGTTGCCAATATTCTGAAAATTAGACAGCTCTTTATGGAATTTTGTAAGTAAAGTAAATGGAAAAGAAATAGTTGGTAGGCTTGGAAGTTGCAGTATATGAATGCTAGATCTACATTTGTTTCCATTTGTAAGCAGAGCAGAGCAGATAATTCTGCAAATTCAGATATTATTTGCTTGAATCTGTTTTGTTTTTTTTTTTTTTTTGAGGGGGTGTGGCTGTGTGGTGGGGTGGGGGGGGGGAGGAGTGGGGGGGCGGTTGCAGGATTGGTATCAACAGATGCCCAGTTTATCGCTTCTCCTATGTAATTTGTTTTAACAGATCAATTTTACCAAATTTGAGTACTTTCAATATCCGTTTACATCCCTATTTCTTCTTATGACCTTCCTCTTCCATACTACAGACTTTTCTGGAAACCTTATTCTGTGTGGCAAGTGGATCCTACTTAGTTTAGAACCTTCATTTTTTCCGGATTTCATGAAACAAACATGGAAATTGAAGAATTTTTGAGAAAAGTCCATAACTTGCTCATTCTATGGGTCTCATTGAGATTTCCAGATTTGTGCAGCTCTATGACTCTTATTGGCATTAATTTTTTTCCTGGTTGATTAGATGCGATACCCATTAGCGGCCATGCTTTGGCTCCAGTGGGATACCAAATTAGCTCTTGCCAATATCTGAACCCAAACTCAATATACATCAAAGCTATACCGAAGTTGTACTGAAGCTATACATGAACAATTTGGTCGAATTTGTTTCTGAATATTAACCTATAGTATCAAACGTCCTGTTGCCACCATTTTTAGGATCTCATAGCAACTGCAAGATGATTTAAATTAATGGCATCAAAACTTCCAAGTTTTTTTATGAATTGGATACCAATAGAGTCAGTATGTCATTTTCTGGTGACATAGTGGAATTTCTGTGGTGACATAGCTTTTCAGGTTCTCTCTCCAAAAAAAAAAAGAATTTCATGAATAGCTGGTTATCATATAGTTATATTTTGCTGCCAAAACCATGAAAATGAGTGCTTTAATGTGCGTGTTGTTGCCAAAATCATGAAATTGAGTTCTTTGATATGTTGTGTGTATTTTTTTAAGAGTAATCAAAGCAATCAGACATGTTATTGATATTCTTTCATGGATGATATTTTTGTCTCATTGCTCTATTATCTTTATGTTCTCCATGGATAACGTTATTTATGGTTAGAGCAAGAATATCTACAACAAATCCTAAAAATCAGCAAGCTATTACCGCTTACCTTGTGTTTGTGTTTGCGTTTGCTTGGCTTGGTTAGGGTTTTCACTGTTGTTAGCTGAGCCAAATTGGAACCCTACTGTCATCACCAGATGTACGATTAACCTAGAGTTTGGTACAATGATATGGAGTATACATAGTGATCTTGTCATATAACTTCATTCATTTGGATTCGGCCTGAATGTCAGACAAGTAATAGCAATCATATATGGAAAATCTGATGGAAAAGATCTAATAGAAAGTAGAAATAAATTAATTATTCGCAAAAGTATTAAGTCTATACTTGAAACATCGGCAAATTGAAAATGCTTCAAAGACTTTCCAGTTGAGCAAAACGGTTTGGTTCATCATGCTTCGCAAATGATGGGTAACATTTGGAGATATCAGTATTCCACTTTTCTAGTGGTCAGTCACTGAGTATTGGAGGGGTAAGAGTAAAGAAATACACTTCAACTCTGTTAGCAACGAAAGCTTAAGCATAATCTCATGTGAACTTCCACATTGCACTCTCATTTTGTTACTATTGCGCAGTTAATCCTTAACCCCAAGCTTCAAGCAATGTTCTTTTTCATCTTTCAGTGTGTGAATGGGCATGTAGCATGCCGTGCCTGCTCCATTAAGCTCCCTCAAAACAAATGCCCGAACTGCTCTCAGGCCATCGACTTCACTCGATGTCGGTTTCTCGAGAAAATCATTGAATCAATTAAATCCCCATGTTGTTATTCCGAACACGGTTGCAATAAAACTCTCTCATATCCCGAGATATTCTCTCATCAAGAAACATGCGTTCATGCCCCTTGCTTCTGCCCCATACCAAAGTGCACTTTCTCTGGAACCCCCGAGAAGATCTCGACGCACTTTCGTTCTCACCACGAAAGCTCTGCCATTGATTTTCAGTATGGAAAGCAATTTAAAGCATCTTTGGCGAAAAGTGAACCATATATTGTACTCCCCAGCGAAAACGGTCTCCTTTTCCTCCTCCTCAATGACAAGCATGACAAAGGAAATAATTTATCGGTGGCTTGCATTCGACCGGGGGGTTCTACGGGTAGTGATTTTGTGTATGAGCTTATGGTCAGTAATGCTGAAAGCTCGCTACAGTTGAAGGCTTCGGCTATAAACGTCAGGAAGTGGGAGGGAGTTTATCCCAGTAAAGTTTTTCTTTTGGTGCCCCAGAACTTCTGCTCTTCTTATGTGGATATTGTGCTTAATGTTTGCATTAAGAGTGGTTAGGATGCGTATGAATTTATAGTCTATAATCTTATGTGTTGTATTTGCATGTATATATTGAAAAAATATGGGAAACCTGTTCCAGCTATCTAGCGTCTAAGAATCAAGAACATGTGTTTTTATGGACCCCCTGATCTCACTGATGTACATACACTTGTGTAGTGGTTAGGACCATGTAATTAGGATTAATGCCCTTGTCTCACTTGTGTTCTGTCTACAATACTTATTGACAGTCACGCTCGAGTTTGTGTCTGTATTGTATTTGCATCCACTTATACGTAGAAAAAATTGGAAGGCTACTTTTATTCTCGTGCTCTTAATAATTTTTTTTGTCCTAATTTTTTTTTCTTTTTTTTTTTTCAATTTTAAAAGTAGGCAAGACGCCAGTTAAAGTAAGATTTGAAATGCTAATTAACATTCTGATTCAACTCTTTGAATCCTTAGTATGCCTCGAATAAGCTTAATGCTGCAGGTATGTGGAGGCAAATGCAAGCATTTTGTCGATGATGTCAAAATTTTCTATGCTCGGGAGAAATTTCACGTTCTGTGGCATTCCTTTTCCTCTATCTGGAAAACTGTCATTTTCCGAACGGAATAATCAATGCAAAACATTATAGCTAATTAGAGAATGAGAATTAGAATAATTAAGCGCAATTTTGCATCTACTAAATTGTGATTAGAGAATGAAGTGTGAATGATAATTTTTCTTTATTATTGGTGTTGGTGTATGAAGCGTGAATGACAATTTTTCTTTGTTATTGGTACCAGTGAAGAACGAAGAAATTGAGAGAAGAAAAAGAAGATTTAAGGAGGCATCGGTGAGCTATTTCTTTCAGTGTGTTTTTAAAGGGCAACTTCCACTCTTTATAGAGAGGTTTTTCTTCAACTACTTTCCACCCCCTTAGGAACTGCCTTAGATATTCTCCATATTCTTCTAAAACCCTAGTATCTTAATTCCACGAAAATCTCAGTCATTGAGAGTGGAGACTAAGTTAGGTGATTTGGTCAAATATGGATTGAGTCAAGTTAATATCTTCTACTTAGCCAAATAAAATCAAGTGATATGCCTCCCACTATTCGTGAGATTAGATGTATCTTCTTACCATTACTCCTACTATTCGTAGAAAGTAACTTTTATTACAGTATTTATAAAATTTTACTTGGACTTATTTATTCCTAAGTCCTATCAAACTTACATGCTTGATAAAGGATTTCGCTGGTATTGCTTTTGTTAAAAAATTAGCAATCATATCTATAGTAGGGATATAAGTCACTTTAACTTCTCTATTTTCTACAATATCTCGAATATAGTGATATTGGATATCAATGTGTTTTCTTTTGGAGCTATTCGCGCCACTATTGATCAAGCTAATCACTGCTTGATTATGACAATAAATATCAATAAGTCTTTCTAATAAATTAAGATCTAGACCAGTCAAAAAATATCTTATCCAGACAGCATGTGTAGTTGTCATATTGCAAGCTACATATTCAGTTTTTTGTGTATATCTAGCAACACACCCTTGTTTCTTGCTACTCTAAGAAATAGCTCCTCCTCCAACAATGAACAAGTGTCCCGAAGTAGATTTTCCATCATCTTTATTAGAGTAACCCCGTTATTATAGAACCTAATTTCTAGTACTTTCTTCATCAAGCTGGGAACAAAAATCATATTGCGTCGAATTCTTGGCACATAGAACACATCTTTAAGGGAAAGAACATTGTCCCTAAGATCTAATCTATAAGAGTCAATATATTCTAAATCGAGATAGGTACTATTTCCTATACAGATCATCTGTTCTTCTTTCTTTAGCTTGGTGAATTCTATGACTCCATTATTATCCTTTGCGATATGTCTGGTCGCACCGGAGTCAATCCGCCAACGGCTGATGTCCGTCATCATAACATTGCATTCTGTCACACAGACGAATTTTTTTTTGCTAGTATCTTCTTGTTCTAGATGCTTATAGCCTAATTTGTTCTCCTGCTTTTCACCTTGTAGGCAAGTGTGCCTGAAATACCCGAACTTTTCACAATTGTAGCAGACTTAGCGGGATACTTTTTTTCTCTTAAAGTGTTGCAATTTCGGTCCTCGCGGTTGTGGTTTACTAGTACTAAGGTTTCTATTTCTTCCAGTTTGTTTCCTCTGGTGCACATAGTTCATTTCTTGTCACACCATGTTTAGTTTTAGTTCTTTCTTGCTGGCTATTAAGTCATGTTCTATTGCTAGGTGCATAGGAAGATCAGTGACAAATTTAATGGTAGGTTTCATTCTCAATGTAATTGCCAGCCACAACAAGGGAAGGGGGAAGACTATTCAAAATGGTTGTCACTTGCATTCTTTTCAAGATTTTGATCCTAGCCGTGGATAAGTCATTAGCCATGACAATCACCTTATTAATATGCTCTACGATATTGTCTTCCTCTTACATACGACAAGAATTATACTTATGCAATATGAGTTGAATATTAACTTCAGAGGCAGTAACATATTTTTCTTTTATAGCATTCCACATGTCCATGGAAGTCTTGTAAGTTTCAAAAACTTTAATCAAGTTATCTTTCATAAACATGAGCATTAGGCTTTTTGCCTTTTTGTCTTTCGACTTTCACTGTTAAAATTTTTTCCTTTCATCAGGTATATGTAGGCGTCAAAAATTGCCTATAGGTTCCCGCACGTAGTTTAAAACGGAGAGAAGACGACGAACGCTATTATCCGAGTCGGAGAGGATTATTCAAATCAAAGAGGATCATCTGATGCTATAAAAAGAAGCGAAGGAACGCGTGTGAAACGTTGAAACGTGTGAAACGACGAAGAAAATACAATCAGGAGGACTCTAGAGTGACCCGCACGAAGAAGTAAAATTTTGACCATGATGAGATTTGAATCCGAAAAATTTTAAAAGATAAAAGTTGTAGATCTCTTCGTCAGCTTTCCAACGCATCTTAAATCATTTCATTCCAGACGAGTGAATTAAAGCCAAAATATCGAAGACATTACAAACTATCTCGGAGAATCCGAGTCGCTTCAAAGTGACTTGAGTCACTTCGAAGTGACTCGCGCCCAGGTCAGCTCCCGATGTGTTTCCTGATAAGATTGACTTCTAGAACTCATTGGGGTCATCCATAAACATGTGGGGTTATCCTTAAACGTGTGGAAGCTGTTACACAACAAAAAACTCACCTAAACAGATAATAACGGTTGTTCTTCGATCCTATCCACAAACACGTCATTTAAAATCTATAAATACACCCCTAGCACCCTCATAAAAGGCAGATCTGAAGGGAGCCACGAATTTCAGAGGAGATAGGGTGACGTTCTGACGAATTAAACAGTTAAAGATCTCACCCAAGCAGCGGGTGATAAACATTCTCTGCGTGTGTTTGAAGAGAGTTGTAACCTTTTTATTTTCATTGTGTAAGAAAGTCTTATAAAAAGACTAATTGTACTTTTTGAACTTATTATAACGACTAAAGTTGTAATGAGTTTCGCAATGAATAAACCAACTTTTGACGCAAAGAGTATAGATTTATCAGTAAGGGTCATTCACTTCTCTTATGTTTTTCTGTATCCTAGCATTTCTACTTTTACCTGTTCAACCTCTAAATTGGAAATCATACCAGAAAAAGAACTCTTGGGTTCCTTATTCACGGGGACTTCATTTGAGGGGCTCCAACAGCAAAGAATGGAATTGATGGGCAGTCTAGATTCAGGACTGACTTGCCACCTTTGTTTTTTTTTAAAAGAAAGTGTTTAAAATCATGTTTTGCTATCTTGTCAAAATTTCTACCCTTAAGAAAGCAGTGTTTGAAAAAGCTTTCTAGAGCGTCGAAGGTTGCCGCAAAGGAGTTCAAGGTTAATCTTTTCAAACCACATAAAAGAAAGTGATGTTTCCTTCAAAGCATTTGCGTCACCACTTGAGGCCTAAGAAAGTGTAAGTTTCGCACCCCACGAAGTGTTTTTACTTTGAACCACATATTTCAAGACGAGACAACATGGTAAGAAAAGATTTTTTACTCGGAGTAAAGATGCCTCTATCTATCTCTTCATTTTGTTTTTCCTAGTTCCAATGATTTCTCCTTTTCTTTTTATTAAAATTGAAAAACCAGAGCAATCATTTTACCTAATCATGTAATGGATCTACTTTCGTGTGCTTCAGGTGAATACTTTTTTTATGTTGATTCAACTTGTTTTTTCAACGATTCTGAAATTTATATTGATTCCTTGATTCTTTATGCATCAGAATGAGTTTTCTATACATCTCTAGCGTCTATCTTTTATCTCTTTTGGGTTGTGGTGGTGTCATTTCGTTAGTAATAATGAAACAATTTACAATCGTCCCCAACGAGATTTTACATTTTGTAAAAATACATAATCACATCATTGGTAATACCAGCAAGTACACTATCGTGTCTTGAGCCAAGTGCTTAATCGCATTAGTAGCGTAAAATACATTATTAATGACATAATTGCAACTAGACCTAAGTGCAAAAGCAAATAGACTAATAAATTATATTAGCTCTCAAATATATATTAATTGGGTAATGGGTTATTGTGTGGGGCTTTTTGGTGGGGTCGGATGAGGTTCTTGAGCAAAGTGGTTTTACATGACATTGCTTGGCCTAAGCCTGAGGGGGATCTGCCCCTGCTTTTGTTAGTTGCCTATGTTTTTGTTCACTTGATCTGGACTCTTGAATTAATGGATCAATTAAGTTCAGTTTTAATAAGAGATTGATACATTTAGTTTCCATGTGTTCTCGATATATCCATGTGTACTATAAATAAACCCTATGACATAATACATGTACCTCAGCTTATTATGATTTGCATGCTATTTCCTGTCTGAGACGCGAATGTATCTATTTGTTAGTCATTGTACCTCCATATACTATATTATATTCTTATATACATTTGTAAATCTTCAGATTAAATACAATTATTTTATAGGTTCACGCCCTGCTCTGCTTTGAAGCTAATGGCTCGCTTTATATGAGCGCCTAAACCCTTGCCTTGTTCTAAACGCTAGTGAAAACCCATGTCAACAGTTTGATTTATTGTTTTTCATGGGAAGCCAGTGAGTTGCCTGGTGGCTAATAATCTCGGCCATCTCTATTACATAAATATTATAGAGTTTATGTTATATTAAGAAGAATCCACATTGATCCTGATTAAGATTAAATTTGCAAACTAAATTCTACAAGCTAATGGTATATTTCTAGGGTGCTTCCACTTTTAGGACCAGTCTTTCGACCAGCCTTTCTAAGAAAAATCAATACTCGATGAGTATCTTCTCAAAAGATATAATTACTAGGTATTAGCCCGCAACTACTACTTTAAACTCGTTACTTTTTTCTTATTCTGTCTGATGTAGGACCTACTACTACATAAATACCCAACAATTTATGTAAACTTTCAATTTTCTAGGAATATATGTCATTTCCTAGACGAGATTCTAAAAAACACCGAGACCAATTCATCTTCAACATTCAGGCCGGGAAGCATTTAAAGTGGATATAATAAAAATACTACATTGACATATTAGGGTGCAAAATAATAACCTTCCAACCGTCAACATAATGTTAGGAACAACACACAGTAAAAAGTTAATTGTTGCTCCGAGTACAAGGAATCAAGCACATGCTTAACGATATCGAAGGCTAGAAATAGACTCAAGAGAATAGAACACATATGCCAGAGATAACGAGAACACAAAAAGAGTCTCGAAGTACTTAATTTACAACAACTCATTTTTGTGTCTAGAGAGTAATCATTCAGTAAAATATAGCGACCAAATATCACAATAAATTATACAATTCTTTTATAAAAAAACAAATCAAATTATTTAATAGCTAATAAATGATTTGGTTGAAAGATTAACAATGTTTATTGCTTGCCTTTAAGAAATAGCACCTAAATCCAAAACGAAAATACCAATAATCCTCGAGATGAAATTACCATATTTTATAAGATGTATTCACTGGACAATTGCTGCTGAAAGATTTATATATGATGAACTATTCTCTGGACAAGATTCACCAGATACTTTTCCTTTTGATTAGATACCTATGTGCGATTAATAATCATTTCAAAATTAAAGGACGAGGAAAAAGTTTAAACAGTGAAGAACCTGGTAAACTGGCGGATGCAGCGGTTTGGCACAAACATTGCAGTTGAGCCAATCAGCAGGAGACATTATGAGGGTGATCCTATCGTTATCTGTCACCCCCGGCACAAGTTATCCCACTTCCATTTTCTTCCTCTTCTTCCTACTCTCAAACAATTTCTTCAGAAACCAAAAATCATCTCCATCTTCCTTTCCTTCTGTAACTATCATTTGTTGTGTTAATTTGTAGCCTCCTACTGCTTTGTGTTATAAGCTCGGGTTTCTTAGCTTCTCTGCTTTTAATCTTGAGGATGTCTCTCTGTCTCCCTCTGGATTAATGAGAATCTAGAGGATCATGTGCGTCATGCAGGATTGAGTACATGATTTGAGTGTTCGGAGGTACGAAATGTTTGGTTCCAAGTTCCGGTGGAACTTTTTAGGCCTTGGAAAATTCAGATAATTAATGAACCAATTTTTCAGTAAGCATAAATACCTTCACATTTGTATCTAATAAAGATCAGTGGAAGATAAATGAAAACCATCTGAAACAATGTGCTTTAATGAAACCTAATGTATGTAATATTACGATCAAGGGCAACACTGAAGAGCAATAATAGGTCTAACTATCCAACTGCTTTGCTGAAATTAACAATTTTTTAGCTCATCAACATGCTAAATTTATCATATAAAGGTCTCTAAAGGGCACAAGTTCAATAAACAGGTTAGTTCACGTGACTACAACATCAAATCAAATACATAAACAAATTTAATGGTCTTTGAAGAAATTTTATCTTATCAACTCACTAAAAGATGATGCTTCCGAAGATGGTTTTTCCACCACTCACCGGCCATCATTATCCAATGATCCAACTCTTTACATAAGAGTAAAGTGCTATAATCTGCGATTAGATGATTCCAAAAGAGTAACTATGAACTTTGTTGTTGTATCACCTGTGTACCAAATTTGGGAAGTAACCTGGCATATATATTTGCACTGCATCAATTAAAAGGAATTATCTAGAGCACTGTAAGTTGAGGAATAGTACCTGGCATATATATTTGCACTGCATCAATTAAAAGGAATTATCTAGAGCACTGTAAGTTGAGGAATAGTCAAATTTCATGTGAATATAGTAGCATCAATTAAAAGGAATTATCTAGAGCACTGTAAGTTGAGGAATAGTCAAATTTCATGTGAATATAGTAGCGTACTCTTTGACATCAAAGGATGTTTGTTTGCACTTATGTAGTATTCCAAATGGTACCAAATTTGAGAGATTTATTTTTTGAATAAAAAAATATATCTTGAATATTTCAAATTACTCAGGTACGTGAGGGGTACATGGTCTATGCAAGGTGAACAAGCACATATTGTGCAGGAATTTTGCATCTCAAACTATCTAGTCTCATGAGATTTCAAGAATGAACGCAAGATCAAGAAAGGTACCGCCATCAAGAGAATGTAAGGTAACATGAAGAAATGCTTACAGAAGGCAGAGGGGTATCCCCCTCAAGTCGAAAAATCCTTCCTCCATTAATTGTTTGATAAAAATGGAGGAACCACCGTTTCTTTTTGACCCTCAAATATCAGGGCCAAAACAATACAATAATAGCATCCAGCTCTCCCCAGTTTGTCCAATAACATACATACCTACTTCAGCCATAGGACCACTTGGAAAAGGGGCCAATCATTCACCTTATGATCGCGTAGAGAAGGTCAACTTGACCATGGAGAGGAAGGCACGGAGAAGGGGCCAATCATTCACCTTATGATCGCGTAGAGAAGGTCAACTTGACCATGGAGAGGAAGGCACGGAGATGGAATCCAGGCGCATATTTCACCATCCCACACCATAGGTAATCCTGGAGTACACATGTCCTTAAACAAGAAACGTTTTTTTATAATCTATAGATTCCGTACTTGAGCTAGAATACACCAAAAAATTGTGTTTTTTCAAGAATTTCTTGTCATAATCCATGAAGAAAGGAGCTTGGGCCTAAGAATTCAGTTCATCTTGGAGCATATATCTGGTGATTCAATTAAATATGAATGATGTATTATATCCAATTTCCCTTAGTATGACCTCCATTTCATCTCAAAAGTAGCACAGAGTTATGAAATGGATCAAACCATATTTCTATCAACACTTTCTACCAAGGAAAAAAAGCAAGAAGTATAGAAAACAATACAAAATAGGGATGAATTAAGAAAATACAATAGGAAAGCAGTGTAAGAACAAATCAGTCTACATTACACTAAAAGAAAGCAGCTTTCTTTAAGGCTCATCATGTCTCTTCAACTCCATATCGATCCGGTGGCTTCAGATATTGGAACGATAACAGGAGGCAAAATTGAAGAATCAATCATCACTGGAGCCTTATTCTATACTAGCTAACAAGCACTGACTTTGATCTATGCACATCAATCGAACGATAGGAAACCTAGATGCTAAATAATGCAAGCTTCATCAAACAAAAAAAAAATGTTGTGTTATATTCCATTTCCCTTAGGGATATGAACTCCATCTTATCTCAAAAATAACACAAATTATCAAGCGGATCAAAACCATATTTCTGTCAACAATCTCTACCAGGAGAAAAACTACAACAAGCATAGGTAATTACACAAAATAAGGATAAATTAAGCAAATACAATGGGGAAAAAAGCATAACAACAAAACATTATACAATAAATTAAAAAAACAAACTTTTTAAAGGGCTCCTCAGATGTCTCTTCAGCTCCACATTTAACCAGTGGTTTCAGTAATTAGAACGATAAAAGGAGGCAACTTTAAAGAATCGATCATCACTGAAGCCTTGTTCTAGACCAGCTAACAAGCACTGAATTTGATCCATCCAAATCAATCAAAATAGAGGAAACCTAGATACTATAATATGCAAACTTCATCCAACAAAAATAAATATGATGTTCTGTTATATCCAATTTCCCTTAGGAAATGACCTCCATTTAATTTCAAACAAATCAAAACCAAACTTTTGTCAACACCTTCAACCAGGGAAAAAAAGTACAAGCATAGAAAGCAAGAAAGCAGCAAAAAATAAGAATGAACTAAGCAAATTCAATGGAAGAAAATATCAGGACAACAAATCATTATACACTACATTAAAAAATGAAACTTTTTAAGGGCTCTATGTAGCGGCTGAGATCTCATGTTTTGGGGTTAAATCCTTTCTCTAAAAAAAGAAAACAAATAAATGAAAGAACAATTGAAGGCCTCCTCAGATGTCTCTTCAGCTCCACATTGAACCAATGGTCTCAGTAATTGGAACGATAAAAGGAGGCAACTTTAAAGAATCAATCATCACCGGAGCCTTATTCTGATCTAACTAACAAGCACTGAATTTGACCCAACCAAATTGATCGAAAGAGAGTTAGCATAGTTGCTAGAATACCATTACTCAACCAGCAAACTTCATCCCAGTTTGTAGTAGTTTTGGAATCAAATACACGGGTGATATTATTCAGTTCAGTCTCGTTTAGGGTAATCTCTTCCATAAGTTAATTAGAATCTTATCCTATTTAATCGTCAATGCGAGCTAGGTTTAACCTCCAAATACTCAAGTTTAAGACACATAGTTTCTTAATTATCCAATAAACCCAAGAACACAACCAACACAGCTAGATAAAGTAGCAAAATTATCATGATTCCTAGGATTTAACAGAACTAAAATAATAATGTAAAGTATTTTATAATAATAATAATAAATTCCAAACCAAGAATCAGTGATGTAACTCCCTTACCCGGGGCCTCATCATCTGACCCTGAGCCTGAGGAAGAAGGAAGAGGCCAAGGGATCGGTGATCCTCGACGACGAAGTTAGGGTTAGGGTTTGAGTTTTTTTTTTGGGGGGAGGGGGGAGAGTGAACAAGGGTTTTAAGCCGCAGGAGCCTGGCTTTTTATATGTGATGGCGGTTTCACGTGCTACGCGCGTGAGCGAGATGTCCACAATTTAGGGACATTTATATTTTCCACATGAACAATTTTTCACTATAGACCAAAACCGATTTTTAATTACCAAAATTAACCGAATTTTTTTTAATTACCAAAATCGACCCGTTTTATGCCACGTAAGCGTAATCTCATTTCCTAATTAGTCGGGGTTGCCAACCCCGACTGTTTAGGAGTTGTTAAACCCCAATTAGAAGCCTTCAACCTAATTTAATTGGGGTTTAATAACTCCTAAACAGTCGGGGTTGGCAACCCCGACTAATTAGGAAATGAGATTATGCTTACGTGGCATAAAACGGGTCGATTTTGGTAATTAAAAAAAAATCGGTCGATTTTGATAATAAAAACTCAGTTTGGGTCTACGGTGAAAAATTGTTCTTTCCACATTTTAATTTAATTTTAAGGGGTTTTCCCCCCTCCGGAAACCACTTTTTAAAATAGTTTCATTCTATAAAAACCACATCTGAATTTTGATTATTAAAGAAAGGAGCAACCAACTACTCTCATTCAAAATTTTCATTGAAATCCCAAAGTTACTATTAAAAACTAACATTCAAAGCATGCAACTCACTTAGTTAACATTTAAGTCATGTTAGCATATATAAATCATATATCTTGAGCATAAGTTTTTTAAAGATTTTTTGGGTTTTTAGCATAATTTTAATTAGGAGATGGTTGATCACACCAAATTTCTCTTTGAAGTGGTGTCTATGGGGAGAAAAACCAAGTTCTAAGGGTTGATAAATTAGGGCTTCTTCGGAGCCTGAGGGCCTATTTGTTAACTACTCCAATAGAATTGAGAGTAGAAAAGTGTTTCAGAAAAATTAGGCTAAGGGGTTGTTTGGTTGGTTTTTTTTGTTTTGGTTTCCAGTTTGACAGTTTTACTTGCAAAAACATCCAAAATGGGCGTTTTCGCAAGTAAAGCTGCCAAAACTGACAGCTTTTGGCAGCTTTGACAGGAAAACAAGGATTAGGATCATCTCCTAAGGAATAGTGTTTCCTAAGGGTCTGTTTGGATTTGTAGGGAGTGAAGGGAAGTTAAGGAAAACTGAGAGAAGGGAAGGGAAGAGAAGGGAAGAGAGTTCCCTTCCCTTTGGTTACACCCCAATTTGGGGGGTAACAAATTTTATACTATTAGGGGGTGAACCAAGGGGAACTAGGGTGAATTAACTTCACCTTCTAAGTGTTACCAAACAAGGTGAATGAAAGTGAATGGTTTCCCTAACTTCCCTTCACCCTCATTCCCCTCGATCCAAACAAGCCCTAAGATCTCTTAATGCATCTCAACCATTTATTGCATAAGACCTCCTCGTTTTTTGTGCTCATACACAAAATCAAAGGTTGAGATGCATTGGGAGATATTAGGAAATACTATTCCTTAGAAGAGGATCCCAATCCGGGAAACAAGGGCAAAAAATCCCCTAAGATTGACCCAGTTTTTCCTAGGCTAAAAAATACCCTTTTAATTTTGAACGGTTCTTTACTTTGCCACTGGCAAAGTAAAGAATTGCCAGTCCTGAGTCGCTGTCCATGCTCCTAAAATATCCGTGCATATCACAAAGGGCCCATGTAGATCAGGTAACTCCGGACTTTACCTATGACTGGGCCTAACATGACCCGATCCAGAAGCGAACCCAGTAGACCCGCGTCAGGTGAGCCGCACGTGAGAGCGCGCGAACTCGTAATTCCCAAATTATTTTGAAAGTTCTGGCGGGAAAACATCGTAGAAATTCGTTGACCGATACGTTATATTCTGAGTTCTGACCAATTCAGCAACTCTCATCGCCCTCCTTTTTCACATTTTCCTGCAAAACAATCAAAGTTTACAAAACAAACCCCAAAAATAAGGGGAAAAGATAAAAAAAAGACCCAAATCATTCGAGAGCAGATAAGAAATGGGCATCCAAAATCTCCTCCGATTCCTCAAGCCCTTCATATTTCCCGTCCACATCAAAAAGTACTCGGGCAAAAGAGTAACAATCTCAACAAAATCCCCATCTTAATTTCCATTTTTTGCAAATTTTTTCTTTCTTTTTCATTAATTTTTTGATGGGCAGGTTGGAGTTGACGCCTATTCATGGCTTCACAAAGGAGGTCAGAGAAAGTTGCAAACTTGCAATTTGTAGAAATTTTAATTTGCATGGATTTGTAGTTTTCATATTTTTGTTCCTTTTGTTTAGCTTATTCCTGCAGCATGGAGCTGTGCCTTAACTCGAAGACGGAAGCTTCAAAGAGATACTTGAAGTATTTTATGCATCGGATTAATCTTTTGAAGCATTATAATATTACCCCAGTTGTTGTTTTTGATGGGGGTAATATTCCTTGCAAGTCTGATACCAAGAATGTTCGACATAGGCAAGTCAAAGTTTTTTCTTTTTTGAAATTTCCCCCCTTCAATATCATCTAAATGGTTGTTATTTTGATACTAATTATGGATATTTATTATTTTGATACAGGGGAAGAGAGACCAATCTTGAATTGGCGAAAGAGAAGCTTAAAGAAGGGGATGTTCGTGCTGCCATCGAGTTCTTTCAAGTAATTATTCCTTCTCTCTATCTCAATATATATCTTGTTCTATGTTTTGTTTTCTTTTAAGCACAATTTATTCTTGCCAATTGATAAAAAAGTGAAAAATCTTTATGAGCACCCAAAATCCACTTAGATTATAACATGGTGGAAGCATTAATGAGCTGCCTTTAATCTGATGAAGTTCACAGATTTAGATATGATAAGATAATTTTATTTCGTCGGTGTTTGTATTTCATTTTTCTACTATAGTCTAACTTCAGTTAATTGCAACGCATTATCCTGATGATCGAAAGCAAAGGAATTATGTAAAAATAAAAATGATGATTAAAAGATGGACGTTGTTAGAAAATTACGTATGTTGCAATTAAGGCGTCTTGGGTATGCTTTTGAACCTAGCTGAAAAAATTTCTGTGTCTACATACGCTCTTCATATTGGAGATAGGAGAATTGTTACCCAGCTACTTATTATTTATATTTCATACTGCTATGATGCTTTGTCTTATTCATCCTTCACAATCAAATGTTTTGGCCTACTTATAATTTCAACTGCTTTTGTATTATGTTCACTAGATAATATTGTCTGAACTCTCTCCTAATTAGCTTATCTTTTCTAGAGAGCAGTACACATCACTCCGACAATGGCGCATGAACTAATTCAGGTATATTTTCAATACATGATTGGTTCATTGCTTCCTTCGTATTTCAAATCAATCTACTTACTGTACTTCCTCAGATTCTGAGATCAGAGAGCATTGAATTCATAGTTGCTCCATATGAGGCCGATGCACAGCTAGCATATTTATCATCTCTTAGTGCTGATCAAGGAGGCATTGAAGCTGTAATAACAGAGGACAGCGACCTTATTGCATATGGTTGTCAAAAGGTGAGAAATTTATTCTCATTTTAACACAATAGATGATAGATCCATTTCCATTGTTGACCTATTGAAAATTGATTTGATTTACGGTTGTTGCAGGTTATATTTAAGATGGACAAATATGGAAATGCTGAAGAGTTTTTGATGGATAAGGTTTTAAACAGTGTTGGTGATGGGTTATCTTTCAAGCATTTTGATAAAGAATTGTTCACAGGTGATGCTGCTTATATAACACACTCAACATAAGATATACTGAAGCTTCGTTTAGAACATTTATGCATTTGTTTACTTTCTTTTATATTTATGCGCAACGTCAACCAACTATAGGGAATGCGTTTTCATTTCTTATTAACCTTTCTTTAACCGGCTAAAGTTATAGAAATAATGCCGCGGTTTCTGAACAATGATGTGTCCAAAATTTTCACCTTCATCAGTGTCATGTGAGTCAGAGATAGTATCAAGGAAAAAGGAAGTTTTAATTGGCAGTTTATACCCAGTAATCTTAAAAAAGTTGAAAGGTATTGAAGCTTTAAAACTTACTGAAAGATTTCAAATTTTAATTATAAAATGCAAGATTTGTATTCTCACAGAACATCAGATTCAGATATTAAATATGATTGTCTTTCTGTACATATATCATCACAACGGATCATATTAGGAGTGCGATGAGTGCCTCACATCCATTCAGTCCAAGGTAGGAGTTTGTTCTAGCAAGGACATTATATCGGGTGTAGTTCCACACCCTGAAGAATAATTAGATGATGTATGGTTAAATAAGTTTGGATTCATGACCAATTTCAGGGCCAAGGTTTTGCAATCAATTCTGTCAAAGTAGATTGGCTTACTTCATCTCCATATATGGTCATTTGTAATTCAACGAATTGGTACTGGAGCTAGTGGTTTGACGGGCCTTTGGATGCTTTGCTTTGAGATTCAATTAGCATCAAGGTTGACTGCACATAACCTAAAGTTGGTATTCATCCATTTAGTTCAATGTGTGGGACTGTGAGTTTGATCTAGCTAGGGCATTACATGGGATTTAGTCCCACATTGGAAGAATTATTAGATATATGATTAATTATGTTTTGTCTGATGACTTAATTAAGTTGATACTTTTGGGTCAATTGGTCAAAATAGATTAGCCTTGTCCGCCTTTGTTCATCAGTGTTTGCAATCCAACACATATGTCAGTCATTTTTGTGCCATCTTCGTTCTCATGGTTGACAATTTTTGAAATATTAGGGTTTTTCTCTTAGGTTCTCATTGATAGAATGTTGGCTTATATAGCCTTACAAAACAGGTTTGCACAAAGGCCCTCTAAAAGCCCTTTAATTGCGTTCCATTCTCAACACTCCTCCTCAAGATGGACGAAAGATATCTATTAAGCCCATCTTGTCACACCCTCTAGCTAAATCTATTGAGCTAAGCCCTTTAGTCAAGCAGTCTGCAGCCTGCTCCTTAGTTGGAACATAGCCTAACTCCAGTAGCCCACTGTTCAGCTTCTCCTTGATGAAGAATCTATCAATCTCGATGTGCTTAGTTCTGTCATGTTGAACTGGGTTGTTGGCGATGCTGATAGCTGACTTGTTGTCGCATCACAAACTCATCTTGGCCCTTTGGTCAAGGTTCAGTTCCACCAGCATGTTTTTCAGCCACATGTTTTTCAGCCACATCAGCTCCGCAACCCCCAAGGCCATGGCTTTGTACTCAGCTTTAGCTGTTGATCTTGCCACCACAGATTACTTCTTGCTTTTCCAGGAGACTAAGTTGCCTCCTACAAATATACAATACCCTGAGGTAGACCTCCGATCATCTCCGCAGCTAGCTCAATCTGAGTCACAGTAGCACTCAATGTTCACATGACCACTTCTCCTGAATCTTAGTCCTTTGCCAGGGGCACCTTTTAGATACCTCAGTATCTGATACACAGCATCCATATGACCCTTCCTCGGGTCATGCATATAGCGGCTCACCGTGCTGATCGCAAATGAGATATCTGGGCGTGTTTGACTCAGGTAGATCAGCCTACCCACCAATCTCTGATATCTCTCACGATCAATAGGTTCTCCTGCCTCAGCACTCAGCTTGAGACTCTGATCAATCGGTGTAGTAGCAGTCTTGCACCCCAACATCCCCGTCTCTGCAAGAAGATCCAGTGCATACTTCCTCTGGGAGAGAACAATCCCCTTAGGTCCATGAGCTATCTCTATTCCAAGAAAGTATCGCAGCTGACCCAGATCATTCACTTCGAATTCTTTGCTCAATCTTACCTTGAACTGAGCAATCTCCTTCTCATCATCCCCTGTGATGATCATGTCATCCACATATACTGCCAGCATTGTGATGTGACCCACTTCTTCTAAAGAATACAATATGATCAGCATTGATCTGTCTGTATCCTATACTAACCATGGCTCTCCTGAATCTGTCAAACCATGCTCGAGGGGACTGTTTTAGTCCATACAGAGACTTTTTCAGCCTGTAGACCTTACCCATTGTCTGTCCTGTGACACATTCAGGTGGTATCTCTATATACACCTCTTCCACTAGATCTCCATGAAGGAACATATTCTTCACATCCAGTTGGTGTAGTTCCCATCCACCATTTGTTGCCAGAAAAATCAGCGTTCGAACAGTGCTCATTTTCGCTACTGGTGTAAAAGTCTCATCGTAGTCAATGCCGTATGTCTGGCTGTACCTTTTTGCCACCAGTCGTGCCTTGTATCGTTCAACCTTTCCTTCCGGGTTCTGCTTCACTGTAAACACCCACTTGCATCCCACTACCCGTTTTCTTGCTGGCAGTGTCGCAAACTCCCACGTGTGGTTCTTCTCAAGAGCCCCCAGCTCCTCATGCATAGCAGCCTTCCACTTTGGGTCCTTCTTAGCATCCTGCCAGCTGCTAGGTATAATAACAGAATATAATGATGCAATGAATGCTCCATGTGAATGTGATATGTGAGAATAGGAAACAGAATGAGCTAGATCCCAACCATATCTCTTAGGAGGATTTCTCGCATTACTGCGAGTAGTCCTTCTTTCTGACATTGGAGTGGGGAGAGGGTTAGGGGTAGGAATGATATTACCTAGAGTAGAGGGTGGTGTAGGTGTCTCAGGAGTTGGAATAGAGCTGGACAAGGGATTAGGCACTGGCACTGTCACTGTAGGCACATCTGGCTCCTTCCCCCTCCTACTGTATGTAAGCAACTCCCCCTGAGCTGTAGGCCTAACACTCCTTGTCTTCTCCTCCTCCCCTTCGTCTTCATCCTCCTTCTCTGCTGAGCACGGGATCGAAATTAGGATTGGCCCCCTTGAGCTCTCACCATTCCCTCCCTCTTGCCTCGTACCTCTAGTATCGGGCAAGTCGTCAAAAGGTGAAGTAACCCCCACTGTGTAGTACGACTCGAGCTACCGAAACCGCACATCCATGCTGACAAACAGCCTTTTTTCCACCGGGCTCCAGCAAACATATCCTTTCTGGGTGCCATTGTAGCTCACAAATATACACTTCACAGCCCTAGGGTCTAACTTCCTAATCGATGGTCTGTTGTCCTTCACAAAACACATACAGCCAAATACCTTTAATGGTAGGCCCCCCTTGTTATCTCCCTTCAGTATCTCACGAGGAGACTTCCACTCCAACACACTCGAAGGCATCCAGTTGATTAAGTAAGCAGCAGTCAAGACTGCTTGTCCCCACACCACCTTTGGGACATTCATCGCCATCATCATACTCCTAGCGACTTCTAGGCAAGACTGCTTGTCCCCACACCACCTTTGGGACATTCATCGCCATCATCATACTCCTAGCGACTTCTAGGAGATGTCTGTTCTTCCTCCATCGCCATCATCATACTCCTAGCGACTTCTAGGAGATGTCTGTTCTTCCTCTCTGCTACCCCATTCTGAACAGGAGTGTATGGGCATGTAGTCTGGTGTAGAATCCCCTGAGCTGACAGATACTCCCCAAGTATTCTGTTGGTGTACTATGTCCCATTATCCGACCTCAACACCTTTACTGCTGCACCATACTGAGTCTGGATATGCTTATGAAAGTCTTTAAAACAGCCAGCTACATCACTTTTGTTTTTCATAAGATACACCCAAGTGACCCTAGAGAAACAATCAATAAATGTAATAAAAAACTTGCATCCATTTATAGAATTTACTGGGTAAGGTCCCAATACATCAGAGTGTATTACTTCAAACTTACAAAAACTCCTATTACCTGAACTAACATAAGAGCTTCTAGTTAGCTTCCCAAACTCACATGCATCGCAATGCAGCTTCTGTTTATTTACTTTTCCAAACAGGGTTGGATATATTCTACCCAAAATGCCAAACGATAGATGTCCTATCCGTTGATGATAGAGCATCAACTCATCTTCTGCACACACTTTAGCTCCTCCTGTTCTCGTCCTCTCTACCACAGATGTCGGCGCTAAATCCATCCCTTCACGGTCCAAGTACCATAACCCGCTACGCCATATCGCAGTTCCAAGTCTTCGCCCTATCCCCTTCTCCTGGAAGATCACCTTGGGAATGTCAAAATAAACAATGCAATTTAGTTGGAGAATAATAGCACTAATGGATAACAGGTTAACCGGGAATGAAGGAGCATGCAACACATTAGATAAAGTTATAGAACCTGTACAACTAACAGTGCCCTTACCAACCACGTCCTGCGCTGTACCATCAGCGATCTGGATGCTCTCTGCTTCTGCTAAGCCAGTGTAAGATAAGAACTCACTGGCATTGCCTGTCACATGTCTGGATGTTTCAGAATCCATTATCTAGGCAATAGATCTTTCCTCGTTTGGGTGTGCGCGAAGGGCGCAATTAGCATAGTCCCCTCCAGAGAAAGTAGTAGATGCCCCCTCGAACACATCACCCACTGCGCTCTGCTTCCTCCTCAGTGCTGCCAAGAGTGCATGATCCTCAGTAGTGAAGATCATCTCAGCTTCTTCTCTTTCTGTCACTGTCAAATTTGCTCGGTGGCCTCCTCTTCCACCTCGCCTGCCTCCACGACCACGGCCACGAACTCCAGCCTGATCGCGTCCACCCCAGACCCTCTCTCTGGGTGGCTTAGAGCACATCTGTCTCAGATGCCCTACCTCTCTGCAGTTGAAGCACTTCCTAGTCTCCCCTCGGAATCCAGTGTTATCCGAGTTGGATACCACCAGTGCAGACTTCTCCCCTGTAAGTCCACCTGTCCCAGCCTGTAGCCTGATACGGCCCTCCTCCTGTATCATGGCTGAGATTGCTCCAGTGGTGGGATCTTAGTCTGAGTTAGTAACAACACCGTCCTCTGCTCATATGCTGGAGCCAAGCCTCGGAGAAACAACATGGTCCTCTTCTGCAAGGAGGCCTCACGCTCCTTGCACTCCGGATCTTTACAGCTCGCTAGGGTTGAGAAGTGATCGTGATCGAGCCACAAGCGCTCCAGCTCTGTGGCGTACTCTTGTATAGTCCTTTCTCCCTGGACAGTAGCGCTGATCTCCTTCTCGATCTGGAATACCCTCAAGTTATTTCCCACCTCGTCGTAGGTCCTCCTCAGCTTCTCGCAGACATCATGCACCCTCCTAAGGCCATCCACTGTGACAGCAATTGGCTGGACTACAGAATTTAAAAGCCAGATGTACATCAACATATGAGTGGATTCCCACTCATCTCTCCCTGCTGTGCCATCAGGCGGCTCAGTCTTCTCCCCTGTCAGATATCCCTCTAGGCTCCTCCCAGTAAGGGTATATTTCACCCGACGCGACCAACTCAGATATGTCGCGGGTCCATCAAGTTTTACATCGATAGGTGGAAGCTCCACCTTCTTGAGTTGTGGCTTTGTCGAGCTCTCTCCTGTCGACAACTTCATCAGTTGCATCAGTGTTGAGATCTCCTCAGGATTCAACTTCTTGATGATCACTTCCATCGGATTTTTGCCAGTCTCCGTCATCGATCCAACTTATATTCTTGTGTGTAGTGAAAATTTCGGCAGCACTTCGACAGCACCACAAGAAAGATAGATTAACAAGAATTCCTGTTTCACCAAGGAAATAAGAACTAGAAGCATGATATCTTAACCAAGTGAGATATCAGTTCTTCCTCTCATCAGTTCTAGGACTGACCTGTCGAGGGAACCTAAATAAGCTATTACAATTCAAGAAAAGAAAAAATACAAATCATCTAATACAAATTACAGATTCCATTTTTTCTTTTTTTTTCTTTCCCTTTTTTTCCTTTCCTTTTTTTTAATCAGCAATAGTCCTGGTCCTGGTCATCTACTCTTCCCTCAAAATCACCGACTCACAACTCACAAAGAATCACCGAAAATCACCGAATCACCGACTCATTCCCTTCACCAAAATCACCGAATCATCAACAAATTCCCCCAAAAAGAAAACAACAGAGCCTCTTCAACCGGAGGTCAACTACACCCATGTCCCCCATCATCGTCGTCGGAGTTCTTTTCACCACGTCCTCGGATCTTAAACGACGGCGTCCCGTCCTCCTTTGTCTTCGTCGTCGAAGGAACCAGTGGCATCGGGTAAGGAACCCAAGTTCAGGACCACGCAAGGGAGTGGGTCGGGCCACGCAAGGCGCCTGTACTCGGCCCGCCCACACGCCTTCGACTGGATCCTTGACAAAATGGCGTTACCGGAGGCTAGGGTTCGAGATGAGTTCCTTGATGTGGTTAGTTAGGGCTAATGAGGGAAGGTTGGTGAGGATTCGGCTCAGAAGAGGGAGGCGGCTAGGTGAGATTTGGCTCTGATACCATTTTGAAATATTAGGGTTTTTCTCTTAGGTTCTCATTGATAGAATGTTGGCTTATATAGCCTTACAAAACAGGTTTACACAAAGGCCCTCTAAAAGCCCTTTAATTGCGTTCCATTCTCAACAACAATCATTACTTTTAAGAATAAATTTTCACTGTAGACCCAAATGAGATTTTAATTACCAAAATCGACTGTTTTTTTTAATTACCAAAATCGATCCGTTTTATGCCACGTAGGATTAATCCTGTTTCCTAATTAGTCGGGGTTGCCAACCCCGACTGTTTAGGAGTTGTTAAACCCCAACTAATCAGGTTTTAAGGCTTCTAATTGGGGTTTAACAATTCCTAAACAGTCGGGGTTGCCAACCCCGACTAATTAGGAAACAGGATTAATCCTACGTGGCATAAAACGGGTCGATTTTGGTAATTAAAAAAAAAACAGTCGATTTTGGTAATTAAAATTTCATTTGGGTCTACAGTGAAAATTTATTCTTACTTTTAATCCACTATGACAATAATTGTAAAAAAATGCATTGCTGCATATATACATGTACCATCAAATCAGGTATTGATGCTGGAACTAGTATGCACTATGCACTGATAATGCTCATCCGGATTACACATGATGGTGTGCCTGAACTTTATACTCCCATGCTTGTTGTGCACTTTCTATATGATAGAATATGGACGGCTCTAATACTAACTTTTAAATTCCCTATCTATACACTTAAACTCCAAAGTTGTGACGAGTGTTGAGTATTATAATCTTATGCTATGCTATTTAACACACTCAACTTGTTGAGTTTCCCCTTTTTGTGTACTGAAACTTGACAGAAGCAATATCTTCTTTCTTTCTTTCAAATTTTATGCAAGACCCCCCCCCCCCCACCCCACCCCACCAAAAAAAAAGGAAAAAATCGCATATTACTAACGATAATGAAAATGGAACTAGTGTAGGATGCATAATGCAACAGAGAGCCACTAAAGCCCACACTTAAAATGTACAGAAGAACCATGAAAGCAGGCACATAAATGTAAAATGGAGGTGGCCAGCTTGGTCAGAAGATGCAGATCCTTCCTGGCTATTGTTTTACCCATAGAAATGTTGCAGCACTGATGCAGCAAGTTTTTTTCTAGTCTCTTGTTCTTTTCCTTCTTTTCCTTCAGTGAAAATTATGCTTATTTATCTTTCAGAATTCTTGATTAGCATTTTCAAAGAAGCGATTGCTGCTTTCTTTGCACTTAAAGATAAAATTGTGGCACAGTGAACTTATTTTATCTTTTCACTGATCAATATTTATGTAGCCATGAATACCTGTTTGTGTTTTCCTTCTAGGCCCTAACACTGTTTTCTTTTTTCTTTTATTTTTTTGTTCTGAACAGGCATGTGTGTCTTAGCCGGCTGTGATTTTCTTCCCTCTATTTCCGGAATTGGAACTAAACGAGCCCACTCTTTGGTGTCCAAGTACAGAAACCTAGATCGTGTAAGCCCATACATTCCCTTGTGTTTCTGCCACACTAGAACATAATAAGAAACTTGCTTAAAATAAGTGATAAAAATTGTAGATAATGTTCATATATGGCTAGTGACTGGTTATACAGGAGTTATATGTTATGCTTGATTAGCAAGAATCTTCCAGCATATCCTTGCTAGAGATTTCTTCAATACAGAATTATCTCAGTTTCTGTTGCCGGGCACAAGAACATCCCTTTCAAAGTTTTCCGGTGTACTTTTTTTAGAGATATTGTGAGCTACTTTTTTCATTTTTGAACCTTCCTGTATTGCTTCTTCATGATATTAATGAGCTAAGGGTCTGTTCGTTTGCCTAAAAAAAGAGGGAAATCAAAGAAAATGAAACCTATTTCTAAGAAAAATAGGTTTTTGAATTGTTTGGTTGGCTAAAAAAAGAAGGAAATCAAAGAAATGGAGATGAGATGAGATGAGTTGTCACATTATTATTGGATGATGTGAGTAATTTTTTAAGAAAACTAGTTTTGATGTTGTTTGGTTGGCGAAAAAAATAAGGAAATGAATTATAAGAAACCTATTTCCTGTAGTTTGTTGTTTTCTTTTGTTTGGTTCATTCTTAAAAATAAGAAATGAAATGAGATGAGATGAGTTGTCATTGTATTATTGGGTGGTGTGACCCACACTTAAGAAAAGTGTTTTCACAACTTTTTGGGATGAAAACAAAGAAATAAAATGTTAATGAGATGAGGTGAATTATTATAATATTTTATTGGATGATATGAGTGATTTGAAATGATGAGAAGAGATGAGTTGAGTGATGTTTAGATGAAAATAATATTTTATTAGATGTGATGGATGAGTTGTTAGATGAAAATAATATTTTATTAGATGTGATGGATGAGTGGTTAGATGAAAATAATATTTTATTAGATGATGTGGATGAGTTGTTGGATGAAAATAATATTTTATTGGTTGTTGTGGGTGAGTTTTAGGGATGAAAATGGAAGAAATAGTACTTTTTGAGATTTTCACCTTTTCCATTTCCATTTCTTGATTTTTAGGAAATAACCGAACAGACCCATGACTTTTGCACGTAGTCTGAAGATCATTATGCTTCTCCTGGACGTTCTGTTTTATGGTGTTTTTCCTTACAGTTCTCTTTCCTGCCTGTGCTTCTAGGGCTTTTTCTTGAAATTGTGTATGTCAAGTCCTGAGCCTGTGAGCCTGTTGGGGCAGTGTAAGCCGTGAGACCCATGAGTGTAACATGTTAATTGGCTGAAATAAAAAATGGCTGGCTATTATTGCACTTGACTCCTGTGACTTAGCTTATAAACCCTCTCACTCCTCATTTTTCAATGTGGAACTAAACTTGGGGTATCGCAATCGCCAAGGGCAACTGGTCACAAAGTTCACTAGATCACAGCCAGCCAAATGGTTAAATGGTAGGTACGACTTTCACAAAAGGGTAGCCATGCATTTGTCAATCTCCCTAAGTGTAAGCTTTTGGTGTGCAAACAAATCGGATATGGTACCTATCACATTGCCTGCTTACTAATGTCAGGCGCCTACCATCACCGAAAGCAGCCACCAACTTTGAAAATGGAAAATAAAACAAAATGGTGGGGCCCACTGCTACAGTAAAATATTAATATTTTATTGTGCATAGTATTTTTTAAAATCCTATAAATAGGCTCCAAATCCTTAAGGAAATCTCATCCCAGAAACAACTTCTTATATAAGAAGAGTGAGAGAGAAAAAATAGAGAGAGTTTCTCCTTGTAAAGAGAGAGAGTTTGTAACTTCAGAGTTTTCTCCTCATAGTAGATTCTTCTATCCTTGCCCGTGGACGTAGGCAATCAAGTGCCGAACCACGTAAATCTGTGTGTCTATCATTTTATCTCTACTTTTGCTTTACTATTGTTGCGACCTGCTCTATTGGGCCCCGGGTTTGTCCCAACAAGTGGTATCAGAGCCAACTTAGGGTACTTGTATATATCTACTTATCATATGCTCTGTGGCTGCCACCAAAGGTAGATCCTCCACATCAGAAAATAAGTTAGGTTATCACTTACCCTTTGGAGGTGACGGGTACTATTCACGAGTACGGTACTGTTCACAAATACGGTACTATTCATAAGTATGATACTATTCACGGATACGGTTACTGTTCATAAATACAGTACTATTTACGTGAAATAGTAAGAAGTTACTGTTCGTGGTAGAAGCAATGACGGCGAAGTTCAAGATCGAGAAATTCGACGGGAGTAATTTTTCACTGTGGAAGTTGAAGATAAAGGCTATCTTGAGAAAAGATAATTGCCTGGCGGCCATTGGTGCAAGGCCGGACGACATCACAGATGATAAGAAGTGGAATGAGATGGACGAAAATGCTATTGCAAATCTCCAACTGGCATTAGCAGACGGGGTGCTGTCAAGCATAGAGGAGAAGAAGACAGCAAAGGAGATCTGGGATACTCTAACAAAGCTATATGAGGCGAAATCCATGCACAATAAAATCTTCTTAAAAAGGAGACTTTACACTCTGAGGATGGCGGAATCCACATCGATGACCGACCACATCAACACCCTAAACACACTGTTCTCCCAACTCACAACGTTGGGATATACAGTTGGTGCGAATGAACGTGCAGAACTTCTACTTCAGAGTCTACCTGACTCGTATGATCAACTCATCATCAACCTGACGAACAACGTCCTCACGGACAATCTAGTCTTCGACGATGTTGCAGCCGCTGTTCTGGAGGAAGAAAATCGGCGCAAGAACAAGGAAGACAGGCAGACAAGTTCGCAGCAAGCGGAGGCCTTGTCGGTGAGAGGAAGATCAACGGAACGTGGCTCCAGTGGGAGTCATGCCCATGGTAGATCGAAATCACGAAGTAAGAAGAATATCAAATGCTACAACTGTGGCAAAAGAGGGCACGTCAAATCGGAGTGTTGGCACAACAAGAAGAGTGAAGATAAAAAGTCTTCAGAGCCATCAACATCTCAAGAATACGTTGTCAGCACGTCAGAGGATGGTGAAATTCTATTCAGTGGAGCAACCGCTATTGATGAAGGCAGAAAGAAGTTTGCTGATGTCTGGCTTCTAGATTCAGCAGCCTCTTGGCACATGACCTCTCGGAGAGATTGGTTTCACAAATATGAACCTATCTCAGGAGGATCTGTATTCATGGGGAATGATCATGCCTTGGAGATTTGTGGTATTGGTACTATCAAAATCAAAATGTTTGATGGTATAATACGCACCATTCAAGATGTGCGATATGTGAAGGGCTTGAAGAAGAATCTATTATCTTTGGGACAATTAAATGAGCTCGGGTGCAAGACTCATATAGAAAATGAAGTCATGAAGATTGTTAGAGGGGCGCTTGTGGTGATAAAAGGAGAAAAGATAGCTGCAAATCTGTACATGCTCAAGGGAGAGACTTTGCAGGAAGCTGATTCATGTGTGGCATCAACCAGCCGTGGAGAAGAACAAACCATGATGTGGCATCGCAAGCTAGGTCACATGTCAGAACGAGGCTTGAAGGTTCTCTCCGATCAGAAACTGCTTCCTGGACTTAATTCGGTAGCTCTTCCATTTTGCGAGCATTGTGTTACAAGCAAGCAGCATCGACTGAAGTTCAACACATCGAGTTCTAGAAGCAAGGCTATTCTGGAACTGGTTCATTCTGATGTATGGCAAGCACCAGTTACATTCTTAGGAGGAGTAAAGTACTTTGTGTCCTTTATTGATGATTACTCCAGGAGATGTTGGGTGTATCCTATCAAGAAGAAGGCGGATGTGTTCTCAGTCTTTAAAGCCTACAAAGTGCGGGTTGAGCTTGAATCTGAGAAGAAGATCAAGTGCTTAAGGTCAGATAATGGAGGAGAATACACAGACGGTGAATTCCTAGCATTCTGCAAGCATGAAGGCATCAAAAGACAATTCAGTACGGCTTATACTCCTCAACAAAATAAAGTGGCGGAGCGGATGAACAGAACTCTGTTGGAAAGAACAAGAGCTATGTTGGCTACTGCAAATCTGGAAAAAGTCTTTTGGGCGAAAGCAGTAAAAACCGCCTGTTATGTGGTGAATCGATCTCCATCAACTGCAATAAAATTGAAGACGCCAATGGAGATGTGGACTGCCAAGCCAGCTGATTATTCCAACCTCCATATATTTGGAAGTCCAGTGTACGTAATGTACAATGCCCAGGAAATTACAAAGCTGGATTCAAAATCCAGAAAATGCATATTCTTGGGGTATGCTGATGGAGTAAAGGGGTATCGCCTGTGGGATCCCACTGTCCGCAAGGTTATCATTAGCAGAGATGTTATCTTTGTAGAGAACCAACTACAAAGTGAAGAGAAAGAAAGCAGTTCGAGGAAGGACTCAGAGACTGTAGCTGTTCAGGTAGAAGATAATCCGAATTCTTCTGAAGCGACACCAGAGCATGATGTACAAGAACCAGTCGAGGCCGAGGCTCCAGAAGTTCGAAGGTCAACTCGTGAGAGAAGACCACCGACTTGGCACTCGGAGTATATTACGGAGAGTAATGTTGCATACTGTCTTCTAACAGAAGATGGAGAGCCATCAACTTTTCATGAAGCTATAAATGGCACAGATGCATCTTTGTGGATGGCAGCAATGCAGGAAGAAATTGAAGCTCTCCATAAGAACAAGACTTGGGAACTTGTGTCACTGCCACAAGGAAGAAAGACCATTGGAAACAAATGGGTCTACAAGATCAAGCGAAATGGCGATGATCAAGTGGAGCGGTATCGTGCTAGATTGGTGGTAAAAGGATATGCTCAGAAAGAAGGTATTGATTTTAATGAAATATTTTCTCCTGTAGTGCGACTAACAACAGTCCGAATAGTCCTGGCTATGAGCGCTATATTTGACTTACATCTAGAGCAGCTAGATGTGAAAACAGTATTTCTTCATGGAGATCTTGAAGAAGAAATTTACATGCTCCAACCAGAAGGTTTTGAAGAAAAAGGAAAAGAGAACTTGGTTTGCAGATTGAACAAATCTCTGTACGGTCTAAAGCAGGCGCCGAGGTGTTGGTATAAGAGATTTGATTCATTCATCATGAGCCTTGGATACAACAGACTTAATTCAGACCCTTGTGCATATTTCAAGAGGTTTGGTAAAAATAACTTTGTTATCTTATTGTTGTATGTTGACGACATGTTGGTTGCAGGCCCCAACAAAGATCGTATCCAAGAATTAAAGGCTCAGTTGGCTAGGGAATTTGAAATGAAAGATTTAGGATCTGCAAACAAGATTCTAGGGATGCAAATTTATCGAGATAGAGTTAATAGGAAGATTTGGCTTTGTCAGAAGAACTATTTGAAGAAAATCTTGTGACGCTTTAACATGCAAGATTGTAAGTCAATCTCTACCCCACTTCCTGTTAATTTCAAGTTATCCTCCAATATGAGTCCTAGCAGTGAAGAAGAGAGGATGGAGATGTCTCGAGTGCCGTATGCATCAGCAGTGGGAAGCTTAATGTTTGCGACGATTTGTACAAGACCAGACATTGCACAAGCAGTGGGAGTGGTTAGTCGATACATGGCGAATCCTGGTAAGCTTTCTTATTTGGGGATCGCGTCACTATCTCAAAGGAGATCGTGCACGGCGGTCACTACAAGTGGCTTACGCAGATCAGAGACCGTCGCTTCTTCCTCCCTGACATGCACAGGATGTTTCCCATCTCCTACTACCAATGTGCTTCTGTTCCCCGTCACATGAATTGGGACTTGGTGAGAGAGCAAGATGGGGTAGCTGTTGGGGTTCTGACTCACAAGGGTGTGAATACCGCTGGATATAATCGACAAGTGTCGGCTTTGGAACCCTGCTTATTCTCACGAGGATATCCTTTGGGAGAAACAGCTAGTCCAGCTAACACTTTCATGCGACGGCTGGGTTTCAAAACTGCAGTCAGTTGTGGCTACTTCAACAACAGAAGCAGAGTATGTAGCAGCTACACAAGCTAGTAAAGAAGCGATGTGGTTGAAGATGGTGCTGGAGGAACTCGGCTATGAACAAAAGAAGATTTCTCTATTTTGTGACAGTCAGAGTGCTTTGTATTTGGTAAGAAATCCAGCCTTTCATTCAAAAACCAAGCACATTCGAGTTCAGTATCACTTCGTTCGTGAGAAAGTGGAAGAAGGAACAGTGGATATGCAGAAAATTCACACCAAAGACAACCTAGCAGATTTTTTGACAAAAGCAGTTAATACTGACAAATTCATTTGGTGTCGATCCTCCTGTGATCTGTCTGAGACGTAAGCAACATAAAGATGACAAGATAGAAAGAATGGTGTGAAGATTGATTGATACTCAATCAAATCTTCAAGTGGGAGATTGTCAGGCGCCTACCATCACCGAAAGCAGCCACCAACTTTGAAAATGGAAAATAAAACAAAATGGTGGGGCCCACTGCTACAGTAAAATATTAATATTTTATTGTGCATAGTATTTTTCAAAATCCTATAAATAGGCTCCAAATCCTTAAGGAAATCTCATCCCAGAAACAACTTCTTATATAAGAAGAGAGAAAAAATAGAGAGAGTTTCTCCTTGTAAAGAGAGAGAGTTTGTAACTTCAGAGTTTTCTCCTCATAGTAGATTCTTCTATCCTTGCCCGTGGACGTAGACAATCAAGTGCCGAACCACGTAAATCTGTGTGTCTATCATTTTATCTCTACTTTTGCTTTACTATTGCTGCGACCCTGCTCTATTGGGCCCCGGGTTTGTCCCAACAACTAATAATGGATATGGTTATGAGTACAAACACAGTTCACCAAGGAAAATCGATTGTCTATTTCTTTTAAAATCGAATAGAGATATAGATAAGATAGGAGGTAAATTTACAATAGAAAATAAATAGGAGAAGTAAGACTGAAAAACACATGACATGTAATACAAGAGTTAAACTGAAACAAATTTTCTCAACCAGAGTCTCCCTATCTGATTGATATGTCTAAAGAACTAAGTTTACATCTCTGGATCAACAAAATTGGTTTTAGATCCAATAACCTATGGCCAAAATGACTTCAGCTCTCTGGATCAACAAAATTAGTTTTAGATCCAATAATCTATGGCCAAAATGACTTGAGCCCTCTAATCAATACATACATCTCGGTAACTGGTTACAAATTCAGATATTTTACCATATCATTATTCCTTTCCTATCAACAACAAAAAATAAATCCATATCCTAGCTTATAATGATATGTCCGTATTTGCACCCTATTGGATACGGATGTGGATAATTCCACAAATATCCACATCTTCTCTGTAGCTTGCTACACCAACTCACATGAGTTATATTTCTGGAGGTATCATACAAGGTTTTCATCAAAGAAGAATTATGTATTTTATTTGTTGATATATATAATGTTTGGTCATCGGAAAGGAAGATGCTCTTATTTGATGTTTCACTCTTCTGCTGCCATATGTGCAGGTTCTATCAGTATTGAACCTTGATAAGAGATATCAAGTGCCAGAAGATTATTCAGAGTCATTTGGAAGGGCCATTGCCGTCTTTCACCATGCACGAATGTATGACACTTTTTCAGTTATGATTTTTACCTTTGCTATTATAGGTGAGAAATATCCAGCAACATTCAAGGATTTAATTAAACTTAAAAAAATAATTTTTTTCGTTTTCAGATACGATGCAGAAACTAAATCATTAAAGCCTTTGAAGCCTTTGGATCAGAAGCATGTGAAATGTCTAAATGGAGACCTCGATCTTCTTGGACCGTATCCTACCTTTGAAATGATATTTTGATAATTACTTGTATCTCCATTTTAAAACTATATATTTTATCAAGTTCAGTTTTTTGCTGAGGATTTCTTTTATTTTTCTTTAACTTTGCAATCTTTGAAAGAGATCTTCCACCATCAATAGCTGCTGCCATTGCTGAAGGCCACCTGAATCCTATAACAATGGAAGCTTTTAATCACTACCCCAAACTTGAAACCTGCTACAGCGTGGAAAAAGTCCCCGGTTTTGATCAAGGAAAGTCAGATGAATCACAAACAACATGCACTCAAGAAAGCTGCGTTACGATCTTTTCTGCACATCAGTCCAGCAACGAAAACAGCAGCAGTAAACTCTGAACCTGCCTAAGATATGAGATATGATAATGAAACTTCAGTAAGTATCTAATTAGTTGTTTCTGCTTCATTTGTTGCTTGTAAACAGTTACAGAGCAGATAGTTATGGATAAAGAGAAATATAAGAAAGAGGCTCTTGCACTTGGAAAATTGGCTGCTCCTATGAAAACTCAAGAGGTGGCAAAACTTGAAGTACACAAGAATGAGGTACCAAATAATAACCCTTTCAAGAGGAGAAAACTAGATAATGCAACTCCAGAGGAGAAAGATATTTGCAAAGACATAGTTGGACAATCACCTGATGTCCTTTGTTCATCATCCCCAGAATCACAAGTGACCATAGAGCTTAAATCTCCAGTAGAAGCGTCAATTAGAAAACACGGGAAACTCAAAAAACCTATATCTAGAAAGGGTCACAAGGGTGTGAGCAGTGAGAAAAAAGGTATACTGAAATTTTTTGAACGATTGTAGTAAAACATTTTGTATCAGATCCAAGTTTTGTAGTAAAATATTTCGTATCAGATACAAGTTTTTCTCGGTAGTCCTCCGCTGAAGTCATATTAAAGACTGTAACTTTGATCTTTGTGCTACTAGTCTTATATTTCGTGTGCGATGTGATTATGATGGCTGCAAGTCATTAGCATTACCGCTTTGGCAATGAGGGATGGATCAACCAGCAGGTATATGAATTTCTTAATTGTTCTTGTTTTAGAGGTTATAAGGATTTGCTGATATTGAAATTTTAATAAAACTGGTGATGCTCATTATTTAGTATCTGCACATATGTATTCCTCAATGTAATGTATGCCTTGAACTGATATGCGCTTATCATTGTCATTTATAGGAGCTAAACCTTCATGCGCAAACCTCTAGTTTCAAGTTTTAAAAACCACGTCTGATGCTGCCTATCGATCTCGCAAAAGCAAGCACCATGCTAGCAATCATAATACATCTATAGTAATCCAACATATTAATTCAAATTCAAAATCTTTCTTTAGTTTGTATATTTCCCTCCTGCACTGAGTCTAAAGCTAGATATTGGATGACAATCATTGGATTTGATGAAATTGGTCCACTGAGTAGATATAGATCAAGGCTATACAATAAACTATAAGGTCCACACAGTACACTGCACTTGTTCTTGAACGACCCGGGTCAAAAAGGGCTCATAATTTGCAGCTTTTGAAAATTTCCACTGACTAGGCACTGAAAATTAGAGATGTAAGCAGGTAACTTTTCCAGGAGCTTTGCAGCTTGTCCTTCTGTTTGATCAGAAGTTGAGAGGATGCCAAGTATTTTCAGTCAGTAAACCTGAAAAGTTGTCTGTTGAGTATAGGGAGCTAGCTTGGTCAAGTTCATTTCAATTACAGGGACCATTTTGAACTTACTAGTTGTTGTTTCAAGATTATAGATCTCAAAAAAAGCAAATTTAGCTTGGAAATGGAAATTTATGGGGTGTTTTGTTGTTGTCTTGATTGTGATCCAGTTTTGAGATAATTGAATTGGCTTCAACCGCTGGTGCTAGATTTGTTATGATCCAATTTTTTCCAAACAATATTTTTTTTTGCGAAATGGGGTCCGGCTTGAGTGGCTGCCAAGCACAGCCTTATAATATATATATACATGTCCATTTCACTTTCTGCTTATAAATCCCGTTTATGTCTTAGATATCATTTCTCACTGTCGTAGGCAAAGAGATAAAAGGTTACATATAAAGTTTCGACCTTATTTTTCTATCATTATGTAATACACATACAATATAGGGATACCGAGGATGAGCGGCCTCCTCTCCTCATTCAACAAAATGAACAATAAACTTAATGAGATCCACCTACTCTGATACAGATTTCATCACTTGTCTATTTTTCATGGTTCATTTAGTAAAATGAGTTGCTAGTTCGCGCCTACCACAAGTAAAAAATAAGGTATCCTAGACGGAAAATTCCGTCTAGAATACTCAGAATTCCGTCTAGGATGTGTATTCTAGACGGAATTTCGTCTAGAATACGCGTCTAGGAAGTTTTCGTCTAGAATATAGTATTCTAGACGAACATTCCGTCTAGAATACATCCTAGACGGAATATTCCGTCTAGAATTCGTGATTTTCTACTAGTGTACTGCTTCCATTATATAAGAATAATCTTACATTAGCATCAAGTTGTTTACATGACTATTGATTTGTTCTCACTGTATCCCATGGTTCCTTATGGTCCTGGACCGTTCATCTTTTCTCACAACCTTTATTTTTCTCTTTTGGAGTTTGCTCTTTCTTTACTTTCTTTGCTCTTTCTTTACTTTCTTTCTTCCTCATCCTCCTTTTAAACTTTATGTCGCAAGGAATCAAACGTTGAAGATGCAAAATTGGTGCTTCTTTCCTTGTTAATGAAGGAATTTCTGTACTTGTTCAAACCTAGGGATGAGCATATTGCAAGTGCAGGGTATCTAGTTTTATTTTGGTAAAGAATACGTGAAAGTGTAAAAACCCTATGTCTAATAAAATTGGAACGATACAGAGAAGACTAGCATGATTTGCGAAAGGATGACACGCACAATTCAAGAGGGTTTTTTTTTTTTTGGTGTTTTTTTTTTGGTTGGGGTTTTTTTTGGGTGGGGTGGGGGAGCACCCTGAAATAATTTCTTATCGAGCTAATATATATCCCTACAGTTGAAGTTTGAATGTACATTGACAAAAATGACTCCACTTGCTTTGCTGATTATGTATACTCACATTTGTCATAGTAAATTATGAGATAACAAAACTGTCACTAATTATATAAGAGCACTTAAAAAGGGGGAAACTAACGAGTGTATGCTATTCTTTATAAACAGAGTATTTTTACATTCTCATAAGATGTTTCATCAAATATACTTATTAATGAAACCTAAGTTTGATGCTTAGCGTTTAGCAGAAAAATTTAATCAAGTTTCATTAAAAATTAGAAAATAAAAGGGCTAAGATATCTTGAGGTACTATAACTACTTTATTTGTTAAGTTGCAAAGCACTCTATCATTAAGCGCTAATGGGCTCCATCTAGTCAATTGATTCGCTTGGTCAAATTGCCTCCATTAATATGAGGCTTTATACTGTTTTATTATATGTTGGGACCTAGAAAATGAACTGCAACGTCTCTTGTCTCTTGAACTAGCTTATTGAAATAAATACATTGCTTGGCTTCTTGCCTATTTTTTACCATCAAAATTCAAAAAATCTTTTCAAAAAATTGAACCCTGCAATATTACATTAAACAAAAATCATAAGTATTCTAGTTGATGAGTTGATTTGATCACGCTTTGCTTTTTTGGGAGGTCAACTAAGATTTAATTGGATTTCCACTATCCAAAAGTATACTTTAGTTTGATTCTAGCATCATATATAATGTGGGATCACTTATCTTAACTAGTAGATGATATTTTATTTGTTCAATACTTTTTTAATTGTTTGATGCTAGTCAAACAATTACCTGAGGAATGCGTGAAAAGTCAGCTGTTAAAGATTTCATTGAACCTATGTATCATTTATAATATTCAATATAGAGCACATTTCAATACAGATTATATAAGTGACTATTTAACATCATGTATAAAGAGTTTGGTTAGTTGCTATTATATCCAAGCAAAGGAAGTTTTGCAATGAAAATATTAGGTTTTGTCAATTGTTGGCTATCCATGGCGCTGGATCTGAATGATCTTTCAGTTTAGGGTTAATTTCATATACGCTCTTTGTAATGCTGGTATAACCACTTGTAGCCTTGTTAAATATCATACCATTAATTGAGCATTACGGGTGATTCGACTGGTTGAGAGCTTTTAATATGACTCACGATGTCCAGGGCCGGTTCTGAGATTTTAGGGGTCCTGTGCGAAAAGTAAACACATGATCCTTCTCTATCATTAATTGGGGTCTTCCACTACATGAACCAAATCCTCTGAACCCCCCTGCTAACATTAATAGGGGCACACGATTAACTTCTTCAATCTCAAATTGAATGCTGGGGGTCATCAAAACCAAATATAAACACGCAATGAACGGTGAACCCAAGGGTTACACAACTTGAACCGTGTTGTCCTTCTATTGAATCTTGAGTAATCCAATTGATAATAGAGATTACCCAATTAGGCAGAATTAGCAAATCCTATCTGCAACAAATCAGCAGCCCATCACTGCACAGTTATAGTCTTATAGACAGCTTCCCGAGTGCTTACTAGCAATCATATTCCACTCTGACGGTCCGTCACTGAAGCAATTCATCAAACGCCTTATACGCAACACCCAAAACCCACTACCAACAAGGCAACTGAAGCAATTCATCAAACGCCTTATACGCAACACCCAAAACCCACTACCAACAAGGCAACAAAACAAATACCTGCATCGACGACATCCCCAAGTCGGCAACAAAACAAATACCTGCATCGACGACATCCCCAAGTCCATCAAGACCCCATCCACGCCCTCATTCAACAGATCCTCATCAATCCCGCCAAGCACAGACTTTATATACCTAAAATTCCTCAAATGAGCATAAGCCTTCAGCCCCTCAGAACCCTTCAGCAGCTCCTCAATCCGTGGTCGGCCTTTCTCGTGGGCGACCTGGTCGACGTCCAGCCCAACATAGACCTCCAGCTCCCTATGCGTCTCTTAGTCTCTATAACCTTACAAAACCAAGCACAACAACATGTCAACATCAAGACCAAGAAACCAAATAAAAGAGAGAGCGGAACAGAGAGAGGATGAAAGAACGAGCGGACGAAGAGGCGGGGATGTCGGAAGACACAGAGGACCTCGAGAGAAAGAAATTTTTTGGGGACCCCAATTTTAGGGGGCCTGTGCGGTCGATCACCTCGCACACCCCCAGAGCCGGCCCTGACGATGTCCGGTTCGAATCCCAATGACTTCATTATAAAAAATTACATTACTAAACATTTTTAGAGTTATTAGTTATTAATAGGGCGTATCTTGTTAAAGACTTGAACAACTCCTTTTTTATTTTTAAAAAAAGTTGAGATGTCGTATAGAAATAAGGAATGATAAATTGTCTTTACTCTCAAATTAATTGGAAAAACTAAATTCCTGTCTAAAGTAAGGAAGGTTGAAAACGGGATGCAAGCCTAGGGGGGAGATGAATAAAATTGCTACAATTTTTTGGGCAAACTCAGAATTTGTGACGAAAATAAAATATGAGAAAAACTGAAAGCAACCAACACAGAAACACATGTGATTTTTATAGTGGTTCTAATCAAAATCATATGTTCACTCTTCTTTCTCCTCCTGAAGGGTCTTCTCAATATGATCAGAGTCTCCTAAATCACACCCCGGTTTAGTAGGTTTTACAAACAGGACCTTGAAATCTACCCAAAACCAATTGAGATACTCAACTCCTCATAATAACCAGAAGAAATCTAGTCTTAGGTAGCCATATTCAATTACCATGGCTTGAGTACAGCAACCCTCAATTATCCTCGTTTGACTACGCCATCAGATTTACAAGTTTGAAAAAAAACCAGCTCTAAAAATAATTAAAGCGTAATTGAAAAGATTTTACAGTCCTTTTAAGCAAACCGTCATTTGAACCGATGTTGATGATGATCAGTGAAGAAGAGACATTGAACTTGAATGCAAAGGGCACTCCTTCTCGTTGAAAAGATCTTTCGATATTGAGCGCGATGAGAATAAGTTGAACAAGGCTTAGGGAATCAAATTCTCAAACTCAAACTCTAGAATTTGATCTCTCGATCTTGTGCAAATAGCCTCTCTCTTTCTTATGTTAACTCTTTCTAGATCCCTCTTTAAATAGACTTTGATTGAAATAAAAAGAGGTTCTCTAATTAGTGTCGGAGTAGAAAATTAAATCTATCATTAAATGATTGAGATAGAATCCTAAAATTTGCCAAAACGCGTCAAAAACATCGATGGTCAATCCTGACCATGGATGCGTTGCTGATGATTATCAATGGTTCCTTGTAGTACATCGATTATTCAAATTTTAGTTTCTAAAATTTACAGATTGTTGAATGATTGAAGAGACCATTGACGGTTGACTGTAATTTATCGATGGTTTGATTTCTCTCTTCTGGACAATACCGATTGTTGACTGTAGTCCATCGATAACTTGTGCGACCATTGATTGTGTCTCAAGGCCATCAATGGTTAATAGGCTGAAATCAACTCTCCTGTTGATTTTTGCATTGTTTCTAATCACAACTTGTTCATTCCTATTTATTCTTGAAATATATCATCTCACAAACTAATTAGTATCAAATGAGGGTTTGTTCTTGATCAAACAACTATGTTCTACACAAACTATGTTCTAACAAGGAATATCCATTACATTTTTGAGAAAAGAAATATTTATTATATGACCGTAATGTGTGTAACCGCTATTAAAAAGTTCAGAAAAATATAAGTGACTATTAATTAACATTCTACTATAAATAGTGTATATGCACTTTAACCCTTTCTCTTTTATTTCTTAATATTGATTTTAGGTATCTCTCTTTTCCTCCATCTTATTATTCAAAAAAGAAGAATAGTAGGAGGAAGAAGAAGAAAAGGAGAAAAAAAGAAAAAGAATGGATAATGGACACGCATTATAAGCAGCATACTTCAAATATTCTTACTAACTTTCTATTTGCTTTCCACTTTCATTATACCCATAACAGGGATATATATTCACTCGATCGTTACCTTTTGTTGTCTTTTTTTAAAACTCTTTACACTTGTCTTTCGAAGGAAAAGACTTAGGGATTCGTATATCTTCTCTGACGCATCGAAAACCTACGAAATATTCTTCACAAGTTTTCTTCAAACGTAGAACTACTTGCTTTTTTATGTTAGATACAACGAACTTGGATTCTTCTGAGTTTTATTTATTATATATTATTATTTTCTTTTTCGTTTTCCTCCAACCTTAAGTGGGGGAATTTTTTTTTCCATATTCCATAAATCATACAAAAAGATCTTCCAAAATTTGTAATGCGACACTAAAAAGTTTGCTCCTCTGTAGTGGGAGAGGAATCCAATCTAGTTATCATAGCCAAATCCCACCATTTACCAAATGTTGAGTCTTTCATGATTTAAAAAGTTACCAATGGAGGTTAAAAGTCATTTCAAAAGCTTCTTTGAAACTAATAGCTAAATAGGATTAAAAATGGTGGCGCTGTCATAAGATCATGGGGAAGAATAAAAAGGAAAAATCTAATTTAATTACTACTATTATTATTTATTTATTTTTTTAAGAGAACGGGGGCTATAAAGCTTTTGCTGTTTCATTAAAACAAATATTAACCAAATATGTAGGCGAGAAAGTAAATCTGTCAATATGTAACAAATTTTATACAACCTACAAAGAAGGCAAAAACAATTGAATGGGTGCGTATTGAACGAG